TCACTCTTACTCACACACTCACACACACTCTCGCACACACACTCACACACACTCTCTCACACACACACACACACTCACGCACACACACTCACACACACTCTAACACACAGACACACTCTCACACACACTCTCTCACACACACACACACACACACACGAGTTCTTCACAGGCGTGCTGATGTGTGTTTGTGTGTTAGGCCGCTGACCACCGCTGCTGCTTACACTAAGGTGGAGATCGCTCGGCCGTCTGCGGCTAAGATCCGGAACCTGAACCCGGTGTTTGGAGGTCAGGGGCCATTGCTAATGGGCCTCCGTAACCTCGGCAACACCTGCTACATGAACTCTATCCTCCAGTGCCTGTGTAACACTGTTGCCATGGCAGACTATTTCAACAGGAACGTCTATCAGGACGACATTAACCGGTAATCCATCATTCAGACGTCACTGATTAAACGATCACGTTCAGTGTGAATCAGAGTGACTCTGTGTCTGTGTCTGTGTGTGTTTCTCACAGGGCCAATATTCTGGGTCACAAGGGCGAGGTGGCCGAGGAGTTCAGCGTCATCATGAAGGCGCTGTGGTCAGGACAGTACAAAATGATCAGCCCGCAGGATTTTAAAGGCACCATCTGTAAAATCAACAACCGCTTCTCCAGCTACGAGCACCAGGACTCTCAGGAGCTGCTGCTGTTCCTCATGGACGGCCTGCACGAGGATCTCAATAAGGTACAGCGCTCAGAGCGTGTTCTCCAGGAGCCATGCGCCTCACGATAAAGACACACATTCTCTCGTTCTCTGTCAGGCGGATAAGCGGCGCGGGTATAAGGAGGAGGACATCGATCATCTGGACGACGTGAGCGCAGCAGAGCTGGCCTGGTCCAAACACAGGCTCCTGAACGAGTCCATCATCGTGGTTCTGTTCCAGGGTCAGTTTAAGTCCACGGTCCAGTGCATGAGCTGCCAGCACAAGTCCCGCACCTTCGAGACCTTCATGTACCTGACTCTGGAGATGACGTCCAGCAGCAAGTGCTCGCTACAGGTCACATATACACATACACACACACACACACTCACACACACACACATACACACACAAAAAGAAAAACAAGTAGATAATAGAAAAAATACAAAGCTAGTGTTAGTTGTTTTTTAAATAAAAAAGAATATAAATAGATAAAGTAGAATTAAAATAGAATAGAGTGCTAGAGTTAGAGGGTCAAATAAAGATGGAAGAGATGTGTTTTTAGCCGATTCTTGAAGATAGTTAAGAACTCAGCTGCTGGGATTGAGTTGGGCAGGTCATTCCACCAGGAGGGAACATTTAATGTAAAAGTCAGTGAAAGTGATTTTGTGTCTCTTTGAGATGGCACAATAATACGCCGTTCACTTGCAGAACGCAAGCTTCTAGAAGCACATAATTCTGAAGTAATGAATTTAGCTAAAGGGGTGCAGAGCCAGTGGTGGTTTTGTAAGCAAATATTAATGCCTTGAATTTTATGCGAGCAGCTACTGGTAGCCAGTGCAAATTGATGAACAGAGAGGTGTGACGTGCGTATTGATGTTGTATTGATAAGGAGTTATCACAAAGTAAGTCTGTTTAGTTGTGCTATCTTACAATCAATATATAGTAAATGTAAGTTAAAGTGTCGCCGATGTAACCGGTTAAAACTTGGAGTGGCGATGAGGTCTTAAAATGTATGGAAAGAGTCTTAAATAGGTATTAAAAGGTATTAAATTTAACTCCATGATTCCTGTATATACCCTGAATAAGTATAGTGGATTTGGAAGCCGCTCTTGCCAGTCTTGGGGCTTCAACAACTGAAAGGAAG